GTCGATCTGCCACCGTAGCAAGAAGGACGCTGACTTCGGCGCCTGTGTCGACCAGGTACCGAGTCTGGTTGATTACATCACGAGTGTACACTAGGCGACTTGTACCACCGGCGACGGTTACCGCTAACACCGGCGAGATAGTTTCCCACAGTTTTTGAGACGTTGCCGAAATAACAAGGTTTTCGGCAACATTTCACTTCCCGGCCATAGGTATTTTGATACCAACACCAGTCAGGGAGTTAAGGTGAACTTGGTTTGGATTTTGATCGACCACATGGGTTCCGCTGTTGAGGGGCACTCGGTCGACGGTAGTAGGAAGTACGGGACTGTTTGACCTCAGTAGTTGTTGAACGGAATTGCATTACTCTGTCACTGCAGTGTCTGTTCAGCAATTTAGCGTATTTCAGTGACTGGCCATCCTGTTATTTTCAGAATTTTACCGGCAGATGTAGCTAAGTGGTCTACAATAACACCTTGAAGTATCACCAGCACAGCCTGTACTGACTGTGGCAGTTTGAATAAGAACAGCTCTCTGAGAAGTCCCTCATCGAACTGACGCTGACCAATAACTTCCCTCACTCTTGTTAGCATGCCCACAGCCGACTGATCACCTAAGTTCACGTTGCGAAATAGTTCACCAAGAAGTTGTCGATTCGCGAGAACGTTTCTCATTAGGAGGGTTGCTTTAAGCATCTCATGCGAGTTACTTACATCTGGACTCGACATCTGCACAGCTAAACATTTGTTGAATTCATGCACTGAACATGTACGTCAAGTTCGCTGGTAGAGTAAGAAACCTGAAGGTCATTTTCGTCCATGTTAGTCCACCATGTTGGATTGCACATCCCTAACCGTTCGTTTACACATTGGTTTTTGCAGTTATTAACGACTTATTTTGATGTACAATGTTCACAAATGTTGCTTTCATGCATGGTTGTAGTGCTTTAGTTGTTTTCAGCTGTTTATGGAATAGTACTGTGTAAAAGTTTTGGAAATTATGCACATGAACATGTTTGGATGGCAGAAGCTGTTGTTTCCAGTTCATTTGTTGGTTGCCATTAATGTTGCTGGCTCAGTTGCTCACTTAACATGTAGAAATCTGGAAAAAACAATATCTTTCACGTTAATGTTTACACCATACGAAAATCTACGAGTGAATCTGGTAAAAAGAGCATGATCAGAGTTGATATTAGCAAGGTTTTCGGAGAGCATATTAAACCTTGGGAATTTAGAACCTGGTTTGAAGTTGAAAAGCTTTGAAGCTTTTCGAGAAGGTGAGTATACCATCAGTGTGTCTATTATCAGTTAAAAAAATCAGATATATTGTGAGAGAATCTAAATCAAACAAGGTCGAGCCACATGAAAAGTGTGTGTGTTGTGCTTGTATGTATTTTTGGGAACAGAAGAAACAGGAAAGCAATCAGAAACCTTTAAAGGGTAAATTTTACCTATGTTTTGAAACAGTTAGGTCATCTGCATACTTCACAAGGTAGATATGCAAGCACTGCAGTTGTTGATCATAGAAATGATGGATATTAGATAACATCACATGATTCAACAGCATATTGGAAATAAATAAAAATTGTTTATTAGCTCATTGTCAAGCATACAGTCTATTTGATGATGTCACTGAATATTAACAGATTAATGAGGTAGCTATCAACCCTAATTTACTACATTTACTTATACTACATACTTGGCGTTTAGCAGTATACAGATTTGAAGCTGCCTAAATAAGGAGAATTTAGCGTATAGTACAGTACAGAATTATTATTTGACTTGCCAAATCCTACTTAGTTTTTATAATGCGCTATTTGATAGGAACAGACGCGAAATCCTATGAATGACTAAAGTAACAGTCTCATAATACTATAGTAAATCTCCACTTCATTAAATAAGCTTAACATGCATTAATCCAAATTCACATATTACAAAAGCTCATAGTATAGCGACGCACTGAAGAAGTCCAGATGAAGTAGAAATAAAGAGCGTATTAAACATTTCATTAATTTACAAATGAAAATTCTGATAAAGGGTATCAGCGTTAGTTTGACCGATTGACATTTCCGCTGATTTCATATTCGACAACTTCCGTATACCTGAAGAAATAAAGCACATGAAAGGACTACCACAAAATGAAGTTATAAAAGCTAATCTTATCTATTAGTATGCAAAGTGGTACAATAATTCTATCAATATTAAGTAAAATTCCCAAGTATTTGTAATCCACAGTTGATTTTTATATTGACATCACACACAAAAATAGACCTCATGTTTTCCAGTATTAGGGGATAATACGCAACATTCAAGCAATCTCTGGAACATCCATACTGCTGAGGCGTCATTCTCTCATCGAGATTACTTGCAGACCGACTTCACACTAAATACGTCTACACGATCAAAAATATTGCAGCATGAAGTATACAATGTCAGTAGGAATGGTATAACAGACAGTAGATTGATGATAATAATAATAAAGCCGACTAGATTCAGTTCTCATAATCACCACAATCCATGTGTACAATCATACCATATACTGAATTAATGCATGAAGTGAAGCAGAAAGGAAATTTAAACGAGTAATTGCCTTCTCCTCTGAACTGCACTTGCAATAATCATGAGAACTAACTACATTTGTTAGCCTAGAAGACAATGGCACAGCATTAAATAAAGTAGAGATTTTCTTACATTGAATCCACATAACCCATATTACGCTGCATCAATCAGTGAAAATATATATTAAATCCACTTAGCGATAACCTTTCAGCTTGCGATAATTACTGTCCAAACGCACATACGGTGGAAGACACATCTACATGATAACTTCTGTTCCCAGAGTAGGTTCTGTTAGCATTTACAGGTGATTTCCTTGTACTGATAGCATTCTTTCGTCAAATAGTACTGTTCTTCGCACGAAAATATACTGCATTGATATCCTGAGGCGTGAAGTCTTCATTGATTGATACTATGCTGAAACGTGCAGCTTCTACGTAAAGTAGACTATTTGTGTAGATGAAATTACACATCTTCCTCATTATAGCAATATTTTGACACAGTCCGCCTAAAACACTAATCATTGCAATCAATATGCTAAGAGTGTGCCGCAGTCAGATTACATGAAGCGGACACTAACCTGACATGTCAAAAAATGAGAATTCCTATCAATCCAGAAAACATATAACACAGTTTCATTGAAACCTACTGACAAAAACATTTACCAAACGAAATTTCAACCACCGTGACATATAAGCCTAGCCATTTCCCTCGTTAGGGCGTGGACAATTGCAAAGAACTGTGAACGTTGAACAGTTAACCAATTTTCGCTGAAATCAGACTCAGCAATCTGAAACCATGATTCAGCATTATCTGGTAAATCTGGTACGAACTGAATAGCCTTGGTAGTTGGTCGAATACAGGTGACCCTAGGAGTAGGATCACTCATGGCGGAATATATATAGTTTAAAAACAGTACTGAAACAAGTACAAATTGCAACGAACTCACCGGATTTTTCTGTGTATATACCAAAGATGAAGTTCGTGTTAGGGCTCACCAGTTTAGAGGCTGACGGTATTGACGTTCGCGGATAGTACGAAGTATACTAACGCAAGATCTAATACCCACAACTTCTATAGTATTCGTTCCGAGTAAACCAAAGGCAAAGCAAAAAACCAGAACTGGCCGTACAAATTACGAGATATATTTCGGGACCGATTCGGAGTGCGAGATGATTGCTTAACTAGGGATCGTGCACGAACGTGACACGACGGCGCACCAGATGGCGTGGATGCTTGCCTGGAAGCGTTCAGCTAAACAAGTTGACTTAAACAGTGAGGGTCAGCATCCAATGTCCAGTGATGAATGCTGTGGCAAATAATTCTGGGGATTTACCTACCTCTTCACATTCATTTCGCTGGACCATCCATCTGAAGTGATCCATATTTATTTTTGATGCGGTTAATGGAGTGAAAGTCAGAATAACCTACTTCTTCTTGGAAAAAGCCATAATATATATTGAAACTAGTTAAGTTTAAACCGCTCAAAATGAGTAATTTCGGAACAACGTGATTTGAATCTTTCGTTAATGTGTATCTGTTCTCGCTTTACAGTTTTCATCACTGTGAAGCTCGATAAGATATATATTTTTCACTTTGTTTTCACATAGGTTGTTTTACCTTGACTCTTTTAGCTGCTACTGTTTTCCACACGAGCCCAAGCTTACAATAATCCTAAACTAATTCTGAAATATGCGTCCATAATGCATTTTTATGATAAATGAATATTATATCTGTCTAAAATGAACACACTATGTGCTGAATTAAGTCTTTTCGTTCTGAAGTAATGCTATTCGGTACTGAATCTGGTCTGAGATCGCTGAAACAACGCTGATTCTTGAAATCAGTAGGTTTTGAGTTACTTCTGAAAATGCCTAGAAAAAGCTCAGGGTCCTGAATTAGTGGCAGTCATTATGAAAACCAGAGATGAGTCCTAGTCTGTGCGCCTAGTCAAACCATTTCAGAACAATTTCAGAATTTAATCACTGTAGAGGGTTAGAGTTAGTTCAGAATTAGTGAGGTTTAATTCAGCATTATAGTAAGCTTGGGTGTTTGTTAGGCATTATTTTTTATTAATTTGGGAGCCTTACACACACACTGGATTGTAGCTGCAGTGAAACTCATAATCAGCGTATTGTGATAGGTTAGTTTTGGCATTTTTAGACTGAAGCCCGGGAAGCTGAACTACAGCAGCCACTACAATCTACATGGATTGTATGGTACCCTTTAGTATCAATGGTACACAGCTGACTTTGAGTAACTAATCAAATTTTAAGGGTGAAATTGTTTATGAGGTCGTAGTGGACCTAGCGGCTAAGTATGTTTATACGCGCAATTAAAAAGGACAGAACAAATACTAGCATGTATGTATATATGAGGTATTCTGTCCACTTAAGTTGGTATACACAAAAAACTGGATTTATTTGATAAAACTATAATAGTCACAAAATACTCAAAATATAAACGTACAAAATAATAATAATAAATTGTCCTTTTCTTGATTATGCAAATCCTCAACTACACCTTAGAGATGCCGACCGTCGGAAAGCTCCTGCGTAGAGAAAAGCAGATTGGAGCAAAATATCTTAATGTGGATGTGTCGATCAGTGCGAGGCAGAGTTTGTCGGCAGATGTGATAAGCGAGCAGCTGGAGAGAGGAGAACAGATTCGTCCGTTACGCGCGGTCCAAGGTTGAGTCCTTTTCAATCTCACATAACATCCACGATTTTCATTAGATTCCTTATTTTTCAGTGAACGTATAATTTGATATGTTTCTCGGCCGCCACAAGGTGGCTATAGGTCGTATTTCTATGTGTAGTTTTGATCATGTTTCCTAATCTGCTTGAAAAATCCAATTCTCCCAAAAGCCCAATTATTCTAATTTTAGCTTTTGCCGAATTCTCTTCTGTTTTAACTATCTTGCGGTGCTGTATTCATGACTAATAATAAGCCTCTTTCCCAGAAATTATTTATTGCGATTATGATTTCTTTTCAGGAAGATAACTTGTTCAGTGTAAGTTATTGATACATTTTTATTTACTAGCTTATTTGATGGTGAGAAACTGCGATGAGCAACACTAACGACTTAATTGTTGTTTCTCTATGCAAATACTTTCACCTTTTGCAAGCCAGTACGCAGTTTATTGTTAAGATGTGGACGGTGGAGTGCGTAAAAAGTGCTCTAAAATTTGCTAATCAAATGGAAGATGTAAGGATTTTAAAAGTTTAACTATTTGTCAGATAGTCGCCAATCTTACGGAAGATGAAACCTCGGCAATACAATGTTTCCTCCAGAACGTCAGCACTATTTTCCCTCATTTTTCATCAAGTATTCATCTTACTCGTCTAAGAAATGCTGTAGACGTTGTTATTGAGGTTAGTTTAAAATACACATCCAAATATTTTTACAATGTATCTTTTAATTACATGATGTTAAGTAAAGATGCGGCTGGACAGCGTAGGCAATCGATATTCTTCCGCGGATCACGGGTTCGATTCCTTCTCCACATACGTCAACCTAGGCGACTGAATAATATCATTATCCCTCAAACAACAAGTGTGACTCGTAGCCTGGTACATGAAAGATTTGTTGCGGGTAACTCAGTTCTGACAGTAAAATTTCCAACAGTCGGACTTTTTATTTCTTGCTCCAGTATGTGTTTGAACCTTAAGAACATATACAGCACACACCACATTGCACAAAAGTGAATGAAGCTACTGATCTCCCCTTTCATTCTATTTACGATGTTTGTTTTAATAGCACTTGAGACGACTTAATGTCTATGTTTGATATATATTCTTACTGTCATCTGTATAAAACTGCTTTCTGTCAACACATTGATTGTCATTCTAGTGCAGTATTTTGTCAGTTTGATTTACAACTGAACAAGAACAAGGAGATTTCAATGTATGCCTGTAAAATTCTGAATAGTATCCCTCTTCTACCATCTTCATGCGGTACTTCAGCTACAGAGATGCGTACCAACCAGAAACTTTGCATTACGGTCATACAGGGAGTGATTGTATAACTTCAATTAGGAATGCTAACCACCTGGTACGTACTGATGTGTTGCCTTAGTCAGAAATATCATTTACAAATGTGTTCGATTAGGCTTTATATATCAGTCCGGAAGTCATGAGCATTATTGTTTCTCGAAAAACCGAATTTCGCTCATTTTTTATGAGAATTTACCTACTCTGATTTTTGACTATAACCCTAGGTATCTACAGAAAAGATAACATAACACGACTTTCGTGGATGCATAATGTCCAATGTAATGACGATCAGACTTTACATGTTGTCTCTGATTAGCGGATAATTTTTTTCCATAAGATGCTGTTGTTAGTTCGTGTCTTTTTATGGGATAACCTTTAAAGTCATTGTGCATATCTATCTACCGCCGATATTTTGAAACAACTTGATATGTAGAGAGAACACACATTTTAATGTATAACTCTTAGAATCCCAAGAAAATCTCCTGCCGTTACCGTAACGTTTTAGTGTACTTCAACTTAAGATTTCTGTTTTATTCCATTTTTTGTAGAATTTATGTAACAATCCGTACCTTTCACAGAGTAGTCGAGATTGCATATTCGAATACTGTTTGGATACCAATCGTAAAGTATTTCATCTATTTATATATAAAATTATTTTATTTGCCTAGCTACCTCAGTTTGATAAATACTCTTCTAAGCTTCATTTTATACCGGAAAGTTTACTATCGGTTATTGAATGCCGTTTATTTGGTTCACATGTTTCATCATTAAACAATGAAAATCAAGCGGAGAAATTTCTAGACTCATGTTTTTTGTTGGATAGTAAATATACCATACACCTGCTTGTGCGTGTACTAGAGCAATCAATACATTGTGAAGAGACGGATACATTAACTAAAATCATAATTTCTTGGTTATATATTGCTATTCAAAAAAGTAACAAGGCGTAAGTTATGCTATTAATCCCATGTATTTTGATTGTTACGTTTTTACAAAGGAGTATCAGGTATATATTTGCGAATGACAGTAGTTTCTATTAAATCAGCAGAAATAAAGAAAGGTTTGGCAACTCGTTGTATATGATTGTGTTTACTGGACTGGATTTGTTTTGTCTCACAATTGACTCTTTTTGTTGATATATGTATATATTCATATAATTGAAGTATTTGCATAATTTCTCATTTCTCCATTCACTTATGCACATTCCTAAATAGGTGTGAGTATAATATTCTTACTTTATTAGTTAGTTTGGCTACCAAGTTTCTAATGATAACATATTTATCCTTGCCTCTGATAGTATACATAAGTTTTTTAAGGTTTGAGTGGGTTTATTTGAAGGGAAATCAATTTCCTGACTATTCCAAACAAAAAGAAAATTAGTTCCCCAATGTTTGTTCGAGGAAGTCATTAAAATGAGTGTTTCATGGTGTAGAGAAAGGAAGAATGTAGGAGTATTGACTATGCATTAACGAAAATATCAGGGTTTTAGGGTATGCGATCCATCTACAGTTCTCGCGTAATATATTGCATGTTAGTAGTCTCATTCTGCTTTTTAAACCTAGGATAACATGGATTTTAATCATATACTAGTTTCTGCTCACGTGATTTCCTCACTGATCCTGCTGAAAAATTTGATTGAGATAAAAGTCTGTCCAGTTTGAGGGGAAATCTTGTCATAAAATATAAGAAAACAAAGACAATGTAATCATCCTTCAGTCTCAGCGTCGAGGCTATGCTAATTTGTTGTTAGAAAGCCTCCTGCGTATCTGGAATGCGCGTGTGCTTAAAGTTGGATTCGATTGAAATCTAACAGGGTAGTGCGTTGTTTTTTTAGTGAAAAGCTATTCATATATGGCTGAGTTATGCTTTTGTGTATGAATATGCGTATTTATTCACATGTTATCTCTTCAATTATTTTCATTAATGAAGTGAATGTAATTTTGCTATTATCAGCAGGAATGCATTCTCCAAGTATGTGTAAGACTAAAGGTTCTGATAATACTGACTGAATAAAATCAGTTCTACTAACATACCCATCTCCATCAAAATCTAATAATGTGAGCGCCATGTCAAGGATATCCGCATTAAATTGGTTAATATCTTCACTTGGCAATGGCGTCACCAATGCTTCCCTTAAGTGTGCCTTAATATATGTTTTATCTAAAAAATTACATTTCTTCTGATCATGAACAGTGAAAACAAAATCAGCTAGTTTTTGAAGATCAGTTTCGAAAAATATTTTCATTACATAAAACCAGTTATTATAGGTGAATACCTTATCCGCTGAATTGGATGGCAATGATGATGATGATGATGATGATAAAGACGTAGGAACAGAAGGTGACATGGACAAAATAGTGTAGAAAATCTTTTCAGTTATTTCACTATCGGTCATGTTGAAGAATTTGAACATAATGTCTTTAAATACTGCTAAATTTATAGGTGAATTATATTTCTGGATAATTTTATGGTACATATTTGAAAGAAGATCCTTTTCTTCCTTTTCTATGAGCTTTTTGTTGCAAGAGTGATTGGCTTTGTTATAGGTCATTGTATTTTCAAATGTATTATCTCTCATCAAGTATAAGACTGGGTTAAAATAAAAGCATATAGTGCACTATTCTAATCAATTAGTCTATTGATTTGTATAATTTAATTTAGACTTTCCAACCTGTCTAATAGTTTGGCAACATTGTTATTCTTAGGTAGTTTAATTAGCGTTAGATAGAGTCTATCCTTCTCCTCTCTTTCCGAGAAATTCCTAATGCCATTTACCTAAGGAGATTGTGAAGGAAAAAACAAACAATATAAAGTAACTCCTTTTTAGAAACATTCATTTCCCGATATGAATTTAAAACAAATTAAAAACTAAGATTAATAGAGCAGGATCTAATGAATTCACCACATTTCCGTAGAAGTCTTCAGCTGGATACTGTACATAAAGGGATATAATATTATGATAAAATGCATTACGGTTCAATTACATCACTTGAATAAACATTTACTTATCACTGAGTGAAAGAACTCGATTATATATCAGGAATTGCAAACTAAATAATACCGACAATAATAGTAATTTGGCTGAATCGTGTAATGTATTTGCGCAACACATTTTGAACAATCTGATCACACACGGACTTGTCATAGGAATATACATGAAATTAATAAAGAGTTAAGAGGTGAGAAAATAGACTTAGGTCAAGTTAAAAGGAGGTCAAAATAACAATGAAGACCACTAAACCAAATAGCAGAGGTAACAGTACATCTGCTATGGTATCAAAACAAAATTTACCAAGGAAGGTTTAATGTGATGACGAATTGTTTTTGAACGCATAAAGTTGGTTTAAACTTTCTAATTGCTAAGGCTTCCACAAGCTTTAGGTTATGCCCCAAACACGTTTTATAGATAGGCTTAAAAGATGTGTTAACATCAATTTTATGTCCTGTCTCTACAATATGTTTCGCAATATAGGAGCTAGGTCTCCTGTTCTCACCATTAATGGGTTATGAAGATTCCATTTGTTTCTGGAGCCATTTAGGAATATGCTCTGAAGCCCTTACTTGCAGAGATCGATGAGTCCACACGTACGTCCAAATAGGTAAATACAGTGGGATGTGACATCATTTTTCGCATGTTCGAAGGGCTTAGACATAAAAATTGGCTTCACATTCTCAATTATTATAATATTAGCTGCAAAAAAAGTCTTTTTAACAGCAGCGTTCAGTCTTTGTTTAGTTATCAAGCTGCTATGATGCCCCATATAGGGTAGCTTGATGTGCACGTCTTTCTTAGGGGCGAGTTGTAAATTGGGTCTTGGTGTCCTGACTACTTTATATCTCCTGATAAACTTGTCTGGATAATTGTTACCAACCAGAGTTTGTGTCAACTTTCTTTCTTCTTCATCAGGTGTGTCTTCAGTGCATATTCATTGGATTCTACTGAAGAGGCACCTTACTAAGGCTCTTTTGTACCGAACAGGGCAGAAACTGTGGTAATTAAGATACTGTCTTGTCCAAGTAGGTTTTCTATAAATAGATCTTTTTATTGAGCCATCATGCCGTCGACTAAGCAATATGTCTAGGAAAGATAAACAATTATCTTCCTCTTCTACGGATGTAAGTGATATGCTATTCTGAACTTCATTCATTCGATTTAAAATTGAGGTGGCAGAACAAGGCTTATCACTGATGATTACAATATCATCTACATACCTTCCATAAAGTGGCACATTTTCGATTAAATCCTCCGATAAATTCTCAATGTACGACATATAAATATCTGCTAAAAGGGGCCCCAACGGACTTCCCGTAGCAACACCATCAACTTGGTGGAAACAATCGCCTTCAAATGTAAACCTAACATTATTAGTACATAGAAGTAAAAAATCCCTTAAATAAGATATAGGGTACGGGATGAAAAAATTGTTTGTGGAAATATAATCACACAAAATGTCAACTGTTTTGAGCAAAGGCACGGTAGTGAATAACGAGTTTACATCAAAAGAGTACATATTCTTATTCATAATATTAATATTACTATCGTCAAGAAAATCAACCAATTCAAATGTATCTTTTAACACATACTTACAGAATTGTGTTTTGACTGGATGCAATAATTCTACTAACCATTTAGCAAGTTTATGTGTTGGGGATTTGCGCATTGATAATATAGGACGTAGAGGATTATTGGGTTTATGTATTTTTGGCAAGCCATACATATGCGGGAATTCACAATCTGATGGTTTTAATGAGTCAAATTTATCTTTACTTATAGCATTTAGGCCCTGAAGCTTCAGTAGATTAGCTGTCACTGTGCCCTGCAACAATTGAATATCTTCTGAGGAGGGATCACGGCTAAATTTGCTTTTATCATCAAGAATAGACATCATTTTAGATTTGTAGTCACTTTTATTCATAATGACGACTCCAAAACCTTTATCAGGTTCCGTAATAATTATATTAGAATTTTCCCGTAGCTCTTTAAAGGCTTTGAAATGCTGGGAATTTAAAATACTTTTCTCCTTTGGGTTGTTGTTTAAAAACTGGTGAGCTATATTCACTACCTTTGCCTTAAGCCAACCCCGATCTTCATCGGATGTTGCGGCAAGAGGTTTGAGTTGGTCATATAAGTTTTCAAACTCAGCATGGATGGCTGAGGTTCTTTCTTTCAGGTTCCTTCCATTTATGCTGATTGTTGTTGGTGTTGCCCAGGAATCTTCATCACCTTTGTTTTCTTTATGTTCACCTGAAGTCCTATCTTTGATGCTTCTTCTGCCAACTTGTTGCTTTTCGCTTGCATATCTTCCAGTTTGAAAGGAGTTAAGATAATGGTTATGAATAAAAGGTAGTTTTAAATGAACTAGAAATAGTAATTAGAGATACAATAAAATATAGAAGGGAACACCATTAATAATAATAACATTTAATAATTAAAACACATTCCTTTTTGTTCGAGACGAAATGTGTAGATGCTATGCTCATCCAAAAACATCCGTGCGTCATCCTACATCTGTTAGTGATGTTAGCCGTCGTTTGAACTGTCGATAGAGGTGTATATACTTCTCAATGTATATTTATGTTGTGAATGACTCTTCTTGAATATTTACACAAGCTTAGCTATGTAAAAAAACCTTAGGGTATTTTAGTTTTCTTCCTTCACCATGTATTGTATAAGGCTACAATACGAGTTTAAACTCATCCCAGCTATTTCGATCTATACATTTTAGCAGTGTAGTTAATTACTGCAAATTGTTTCGCTTGTTGCTTCGTATGTAGACTCCTATACGTTGTTTTCCTTAATTTATACATATTTTGTGTTGTTTTAGGTACATTTCTTTGGCTTCATATAATCATGAATGCCTGCGCGATTTGACTGTACAGATTCCTGAGTTTGGGAAGGTGATTTTAAAACTATTTGATGAAACAAAACATACACAAGTAAGTTGAGTTTTTAGCTTCATTTGAGTGGTTTGTTCACGATATTTTTTTGATTTGTATTAAAATTTTCAGTGTTTTAGAATTAGTAAAGTTCAGTACTAGAATGATTGAAGGCATCCACCACAAGCGGGATATCATTCCGAAATAAACCATCAGTTGCAGATAGTACACTGAAGACTGAATCTTTTGTACGATATATTCGATGCATACAATAAACTTCTTCAATCCTTATAATGTTAATTTCATATGGTTCTAACCAGATAAATGGGTTATAAGGAAAACTACTAACTGAAACATCTCAATGATGATATGTGTAGTTTTCTCCTTACTGAAGTTAAAATCCTCTACTGTTAGGCTTTTATTAGTTGATTTACATGTGTGTTTTTTTCTGTATATTTTTGTTTTATTGTCAAAATTAGATGAGCATACTCCATTTGTCTTTCACAGATAATAGACGACTCATGACCTTATTGCGCACATCTGTGCTTCAGATTCTTACATTACCTTTTTCAAGGTACTTTCACTTAAGAGGTATAATTTAACGGTACCAAGGATGCTGTGATGTTTCTTGTTTTTCAGTAATAAAGTTTAACAACAGAACAGTAAACTCGTTCTTTAGGTAATGTAAGGGAACGTTACATAATCCACAGGCATTATATAAAAAGAGATCTGGATTTCACACATGATTTATGCTTAATGTCACACAAACTCAAAGGCTAGCAAACGAAAACCAACAAACTGACTGAAGACGCTAGCAGCGAAGACAGGACTCCAAGTGAACATGGAGAAGACGGAGGTGATAAAGATAACCAACGAACCGCAACAACAACCAGCACCAGTCACCATCAACGGGAGGGATTTAACAGAGGCTACTTCCTTCACTTATCTAGGAAGACAGTATAGTTTCAACCACAGGCGGATGACACGAATGAAGATGTCAAAACCAGCCCGAAATGGGAAAGGCAAGATACGCATTCATCAACCTCGAACCAGTTTGGAAATCCTATGCACTGCACTCCGCAGCATGAACAACAAGATTCGGATTTTCAACACAAATGCTAAGTCGGTCCTTCTATACGGGTCAGAAACTTGTACTGTGTCACGGAAAGGATTTCCAACAGATAACTGCAGACTTTTATCAACAGCTGTCCTCCTCACTGACTTCATACTGAAGATCAAATGGCCAACCAAGCTACCAGAAAGAATTATCAACAGGAAACTCTAGCTGAGAACAAACCAACTAACAGTCGGTTGCTCAACAAATCTGTAAGATAAAAGGGAGATGGATTGGGGATACGTCGAGGAGGCCGTCGAGTGAAATTTCAATGGGAAGCGACAATTGGGTTGTCTGAGGGTGACATGGGGGAGATCGTGTGGTAAGGAGGAGATGAGAGATTATAGGGAATCGTGGGCTCAGCGGAAGAGGATAGCAGAAAATAGAACAGAGTGGAGATGTGTTGTTGAAGCCCTATGTTCCACTCGGAACCCAAGGGAGTAATAATTATTATTATTGTTTCAAAGGTGCTCACCACTCTGTGTGTCCGCTTTAAGATTTCATAAGCTATCAATCTGCCAAGGACAATGAATGAAACTATCTGTGTAAATGAAATATTTCAGTGTAGTCAGCATCGGTCTAGCTCCTCTCCAGTCATTAAATATCATTTTATGTTTGTCAAGTAAAACGTGTTTCAAAAATGCCTTCTGTTTTTCCCTTTGAACATTAAAAGACTAGAATGTGCTAAGCCTCATCCAAGTAAATAAGAACAGTTTTTCTTGTATCGATCTGAAGATGCTCATTTCATAGATAAACAATTTAAAGTTCAGAAGTAGAAATATTTACAAAAGACATTTGTGATAAATCTGAATATACATTAGAGTAGTAAACATTCATGACATAACGCATTGTTTAGTGTTAGCTTACTTGGTGGTTCATTGTAATTTTTTTCAGTAGATCAAAGGTGTGCTTAGTTTCATGAAAATATTACCATAAAACATTTTGATCGAAAAAACAGATTACTGCTTCAGTTGGAGAGTGTATAATGAGTGCCTGCATTATAACTTGACTAGAGTAAATGTTATATTATGAAATTTTACATAAGATTTTGCGGTATGTAGGTTATCGTTTCTTAATAGACTTGGACACAGTGGTAATCAAGACAATTCCCCTGTAATTATTAAAATTATTATTAAAGTCTCTCCACAAGATAAGATAGAATAGGGTTATGAGTGGATAAGGAAATCATTGAAAAGGATATTCTTTGTTCGAATTTTTTTTCATCCAAAAGAAGTTAGTTCAGACATTATCATTACCTTGGCCATCCAGGTTTGAATAATTCGGAATTTTGTGGAATTTCCCTAATTTTAGTTGATATTCTATTCGCTATTATATCTTTATTATTAATATTATAATTTAAGCATCTTTAATGAACTGTAATAGCATTGATTATACTTTACAAATCGATATTATTTAAAAAACACTAATATTTGATGACATTTGATAGTTGGAGGCAATCGGCAGGAAGCCTTGGACGTAGGTTTCGTGCTAGTTGGCACTCATCAGCAAGGCGTATCTGCAACCTTGAAGGAACTCCTGTCCCTTCTGACATGTCACACTAGTTACTAGTATCCAATCAAAACACTATTGTTACTAACTACTAATCTAGAATATTCTATGTATATAAACATATATATATATATATATAAATGTAGAGCCAGAAGAGGAATTTATCGAAAAGAATATTCTTTGCTGGATTATTTTGTGTTTTATAGATGTCTGAATGAATATTTTTGCTAAATTGAATAATGATGATTATTTCAGCTTAAAGTTAATCACAGTCTAGACACATTCATGTTTAATTACTTTACTTAAGCACATTCAAATGTATTACATTCTTATCTTTTATGGATGTAGTATCTTATCAGTTGACGCTGTAAATCTTACTATCAATTTTGTAGATTGATGAAGAAAGACAAAATGAAGAGGATACTGAAGATAAGAATCAAATTATGCTAATGAAGAGTTTGTTAATTGATCTTTCGAAACAAATTATTCTTGTTGATCACTTGAACCCTGTCCTATTATCACAGATTACCCGGCTGTCCAAAAAACACAATCCTGCAGCAAAATTTTGGAACTCCATTTTAAATGCAATAAATTCAACTTAAAAAAATATTGTAGAAAAAAAATAGTTCAGTTTTGTTCAAGCTGTTATTATGTACATATTTCTAAAATTGTATTGTATGATTCTTCTTTTCAGTTGTTGGTTGATGATTATTAATTTATAATGTAAATAAATTGATAGCAAATATTATATGTGAAGTTGTTCAAAAATAGCAGTAAATAAGTCTCCGCGGAGGTGTGGTTAATTAGTGTAGACGCTCGACTTATAGCCAGTGGGTCACGGGTTCGAATCCCGCTCCATCTCCGGAGGTTTGGGCAGCCAGGTAGTGGCACTTGCCTCCACACACACGCACAGGAGGTGTGGCCCATTGCTAACTGCAAGTGGTTGTTGAATTTTTTTTCCTTCACGTTCCCCAGTGGAACATAGTGCTTCAAGCTAGTGGCTTGAAGTTTCTGTAGCAGTGTTTATTTTACAGGATGAGGTTGCTAGCCTCATGCCCAACCCTTCCTCTTCACCAGCATTATTTCTGGCTTAGTGAGGTAAAGGAGTGCGTCGGTCGAGGATCGAACCCCGGACCATGTGCATGGTTGGCGAGCATCCTAACCGCTATGCCACCGACGCACATTGTTGTTGAATAAATCTCCACCAAAAGATCTAGGTTACCTTCAAAGAGAACAGAATACGCTTCCTTAATACTGCTTTCGTCAACATACCACCCGTTAGCTAACTGATAAGAAATACAGCAGTCTATCTATTAAATACTGAAGAATCGAATTGCAGTCATTGGTAAAAGTGACAAGGTAATGTTAGTGGTGAATTATTGTAGCCATTAGTCTGAATAGTTTGTCCATGGATATTTCTATTATTTATGATGTTTAGTTAATACTGCTACAAAAAATAGGTGATATTGTAGGATTTTTAGTAGTATTATACACTGACTTAACATGTCCGTAGTTGTGTGGCGTATATTACTGACAAGCTTTATCAGTAATATACAGACGCAGACTGATAGGAAGCGGCGAAAATTGAAAACAACATTTCAAGCCAATAGCTGCGGAGATGGGAGTGTTTACAGCTCAAATCTGGATTTAGTTGAGGTTGTGGTCAAGAAATAATCTCATTAGACAACTTTTCGTCTCAAGGTTTAACTTCGGCAATTCGACAACCAGTCAGAACACATTACGATTCACTAATCTAGCCGACCTTTAATGTGGTGTGTTTTTCCCTAATAGGAAATTCCGTTACCAAGTCTATTGTCTTCTCCCATGATAATTGTATCAACAATTTCCCGCTCCACTTACAGACAAACTTATAGGTAATTTAAATGCAACACTGAACGCAGAGGACATTTCCTCTTCCAGTGCGATAGCAATGTAGTTGTAGTATGTGAGATGATTAGCCTCTATCAGACCTAAACTTAGTCATCCATACATTTACTAACTGGAGTTTATATTCTTAACAGCCATCTGGGAATTTCAGTCTCAATATTCTTTTTCTCAAAATTAGGTACCTACTTCAGCTCAAAGTGACATTATTTATTACTATATCCTTTAATTCCTAGAGGAACATAGGGCTTCAGCCGTGCGTCTCCATTGAGTTCGGTTCTCTGCTAGAGTCTTCACCTGGCTCCATGTCTACCCACACGTTTTCATCTCCTCTTCACACGACCTCCTCCAAGTCACCCTTGCACTGACGACCAACTCGCCGCTTCCCTTTCGGGTTCCACTCGAGCGATGGCTTGTCTAGTGATGTCACTTGATGGTTTCCTCAGAGTATGGCCAGCCAATCCATCTCCATTTCTTCCCGCCTATTGGTTTCACAATCGGTTCCTAGTTGGTTCGCTCCCAGAGATCTCTGTTGCTGATCTTTTCTGGCCATCTGATCTTGAGCGAAGACAACTGTTAATGAAGGTCTGTAGTTTGTTTGAAGTGGCCTTCGTGACACGGCGCCAAGTCTCTGATCCCTATATTAAGTAGCACTGACTTCACATTGGAGTTGAAAATCCGGATCTTATCTTATTCATGCTGAGTGCTGTTGACCTCCACACAGACTTGAGAGTAGTGAAAGCTTGTCTTGCTTTTCCGATTCTTGCTGTTATATCCTCGTCAGTCCCATCCGCCTGTAGTTGAAACGATGCTTCCAAGGTAGGTAAAGGAGGTTGTTTCCTTCAGGTTCCTCCCATTTATGCAGATTGTTGTCAGTTGTTGTTGTCGCTGTTGGTGGTGTTGCCCCGGAATTTTCATCACCTCTGTTTTATCTATGTTCACCTGAAGTCCTATCTTCTCTGGATGCTTCTTCTGCTAACTTGTTGCTTTTCGCTTGCATGTCTTCCAGTTTGTGGGAAATCAGACATATATCATCGGCGAAGTCGAGATCCTCCAAGTTTTTTGTGTGAGTCCATTTTATGCCTGTTTCCTCACTGCCCACTGTTTGTCGCATTATCCAGTCTACTGCGATCAAGAAAATCATTGGCGATAGTAGGCAGCCAGCTTGTCTTACTCCTGTCCTCACTTCGAAGGATTCCGTAAGTTTCCCATTGTGGATTACTTGGCATGCAGCATTATCGTACAGCTGTTGGATGAGATGTATAATTGTCGGTGGCACCCCGTAGTAGCGAAGTAGTTGCCAAATCACCCATCGATCGACGCTGTCAAAGGCCTTTTCAAAGTCGATGAAGTTGAGATAGAGAGGTGACTGCCATTCCAAGCTTTGTCCAATGATGATCCGTAATGTGGCGATCTGATCAATGCATGACTTGTTTCTCCTGAATCCAGCCTGTTCCGGTCGAAGTTTTTCATCCAGGGCATGTTTGATTCTCTCCAGGATGATGCGGCTTAGTATTTTGCTTGGGATGGACAGGAGCATAATTCCGCGCCAGTTCTTGCATTGACTTAAGTCTCCTTTGGTAGTTTGAATAAGTATCCTTTCTTCCAATCTTCAGGTACTTTGCCTTCTTTCCACACCTTCTCCAGTAGTGGCGTCATCAAGTCCGTTGTTGTCTCTGGATCAATCTCCAATGCTACTGCTGGGATTCCATCTGGTCCTGCTGCTTGTCCAGCTTTAAGCGACTTGATTGCCTTCAGGACATATGTTCTCGTCGGGAGGTTGATGTTCACTGGTAATTCTGATTCAGTTGTTGGTATTGTTGGGCGCGTTGTAGGTGGCGGACGATTTAGAAGTCTTTTGAAGTGTTCAGCCCAGTGTTTCCTTTGCTCCACTTCTTTGGTGAGTGACTTTCCGTTGTCATCTTTCACCGGCTTGATTTGCGTCAAACGTTTGCCCGATAGGTACCAAGTTGTTTAGTAGAGTGTTGCGAGATCAAAGTGACATTAAAGAATTAGTATTTGCCAGCATTTGAGTTTTACTACTTGTTAGTAGTAAGATTATTTTTCACTAACGTGTTAGTGAACAGAGATGAGAATTCATTGATTTATCTTTCGAAACCACCTCCCATAACTCAATAAAGGACTGTTATAAGTCCATAGTAAATATAAGTAAGATTGTACAATCTGAAATAATGGAGAAGATTTGTAGCTCAGATGGATGATATTGAATTAGTTGTGTTCTCTGAGCTGGTTGATTTAATAGGTGAACCCCGATGGGTGCATACTGCCTATAAGTCCCAAACTAGGACGAAACAGTTGTCTGGTTTTCAGTGGTTCTCTAACTGACATCGATCTTGAAACAAACAAAACCCTACAAACTAACTCTTGAAAATAACATAATTGTTTTGATTATACACTAGTAACTAGTGTGACGCGTCTAGTCCTTTCTTTGGTGCAGACTGAATTCTATCAGTCGGGTTTGCAATGTGGCGACCATTCTAGGTAGCTTGCCATCACGATACACATTGATTTGATGATATTATATGGTTGGAGGCAATCGGTAGGAATCCTGCGACCTAGGTTTCGTGCTAGTTTGCACTCGTCATCCGATTGCCTTCAACTATCTAATATCATCAAATTAATGTGCACCGAGATGGCGAACTACCTAGAATGGTGATCACATTACAAACCTGACTGATAGAATTCAGTCTGCACCAAAGAAAGGACTAGATGCCTCACACTAGTTACTAGTGTCCAATCAAAGTACCCAATACAGTCCTACAGGAAGTCAATCGTGAGCCCGAATAACTCAGTGGTGACGTGGGTTCGAATCTCAGAAGGGACATGAGTTCCTTCAAGGTCGCGGATACGCTTTGCTGACTGGGGAGTGCTAACTAGCACGAAAACTGGGTCAGACAAGGCTTCCTGCCGATTGCCTCCAACTATCTAATATCATAATATAATTGTTGTTATTTCCTTAAAATTATTTAGGTACCAACTACTATCTAAAGTATTTTTAAAACTTAGTTTAAATATGAACAGTTCATTACTACTTGCTTGAATTAGTTTCATTCCCTAATGTGGGACTGTCCGGTGTAATTGAGATATCCTACATTTGTACCTTACTGCTTAAATACCGAGACTAGTCATTTGGACAGTTTGATTATCGACACCTAGAAACAGAACTGGTATGTGTGTTTAACAATTTAATAAGAAACAAACCAGTGGATATTAACTTACTGGTGTATTTTAAATGTCTAATATACGACGTCAATTCTTTCTGTTTGGTTTCCAGTTTATAATTTACTGACTTCTTACTGTAGCATGGTATCAGTTAAATAAACAATGATTGGTGATATATATCCATGAATTGTTTGGTCAATAAGAGGCTGAACAGAATCTACATATTAAAATTAACTATGTGAATTCATGTTTTACAGGGCTTTTCTAACTGTTAGTTGTGATAGAATGCTCTACATGTAAAGTATGATTTCTGATGATCATAAGGTATGATGATTGTTTTGGATTTTTCTTTTATGCATATGTGACATTAATGTGTCTTTGTCTCCACGTGCTCCAGTGTACTATTCACACTAGCCACTCATATTCTTTACACATTAACTTTCTAATGGCCTTAATAACATGATCCTATTAGAAGTACATAATAGCCTTTGGAAGATTATATACTTTTATCATTATCGACCCAATGTATGTCAGACTAATAGAAATCTTAATTGGAGAACTAATATCTGGACAGTTAT